ACAACACTGAATTTCAATAAATGTCTGCCATAGTAGCAAATTTTTGTGCTCCCAGAACTGAATGTACCAGAGTTGAGTATCGGCCTGTTTTGACATGAGCATGTGCTATAGTTGCACGGATGATTTGCTGCATCAAGGAAATGCAGGAAATCTTTGATGGGATGAATTCTTCACATTTCATTCTCCTGTGCCCCCACAGATCCTCAGAATTTGCACACGATACACGCCAGAACAAGACACGATGACGTTCTCAGATGGCCTTACCCTCAATCGAACTCAGATGCACAACGCCGGGTTCGGCCCGCTCACTGACCTGGTGTTCACGTTTGCCAACCAGCTCCTGCCTTTGGAAATGGATGATACGGAAACAGGTCTCCTCAGTGCCATCTGCCTCATCTGCGGAGGTACCTATGTGCAGCGGCCACTGCCACGCGTCTGAAACGGGCAGACAGGCTAAGATGTGGCTCTTAGTCTCCCCCTACACTAAGGGGTTGTTTGCAACTGACGATGGTTATTGTTTTTATTACTATTTTTTTCCTGAATCTGATCATTCGGACAGGCAAATGATCCTATTTTTGCCTGATAAAGACATATGGGATGCATCCTGCCGCATTACCCTATATGAATGACTTTCATTACTGACTTTTTTATATAACTTTTACTCATCAATGTAACGGCTTTCATATCCGTATGTTTATATTCACAGAAATCATTGGTGATTGATAATTTTCTTTAGGAAGAGTTCTGATTTATAAGTAACACAGCAGCACATATGACATGATCATCTTGGGGGTTTGGCTGCAAAAACCAAGTGGAAAGGGACATCAAGTAACATCCTAGTTAGTTAATTTAAAAACAACAAAAAGGGAGCTTCAGCCTCTTCACTTCCTTCCATCAGGCTCTTATGCTATTCCAGAGCTTGCACAAAAAGAGCGAAATGAATGAGGTTAAGGATCACACCTTGCTTAGTCTGGGCATCTGGGGAAATACGAGCTTCTTTTCCCCTTCATTTTCCTTTGCAATATCTTAGGCGCTACACAGTGCTACAACTAACTGATTTAAAACCAAAAGTCAGTGTTTGTTGACGGTGCCCCTTCAGTGCGAAATCTTTGTCATTTTATGTGTCTCTGAGCATAACCCGCGACAAGCACCGGCAGGTTCTGCGCTGTCCTGCTGCTGCTGCTGTTTGTTGGTGCTCCCCGTTTTATGGGTGGCGTTTGTTGTCGCTCAGGTTAGCACTGCCACCTGCTGATGTGTGATGGTAATTTACTGTATTTTAGTAGTGACACAAAATAACAGCTTTTGTATACCTAAAAGTAGCCTATAAATGTCATGTACAAGATTAATTCCCATTTATTATTTGTAGCAAGGGATTTTTTTTCCCCTTGGAGAGTGAAGGACAAGAGCAAATTGATCATTTTGGACCACTCAAATTACAAGCCTTTCCAGTAACCAAGCAAAAGTGAATCTCAGTACTATAGAGATAATGATGTTCTGGCTTCTTCCTATGGAATACAGGCCACAGAATGTGGGTCATAAATGGAGAAAATTATGAGATTCTGATCAAGAAAATGGAGGAGCTTCTGCAGTTTGCATTTTGTAGGAGCTATTTCAAATAATACTGGCAATACAATTCTTTTTTTTTTTTTAACAGATCGTCAGGACCTTGAAGAACCAATGAAAGTCGATAAGCTTCAGGAACCGCTGCTGGAAGCGCTGAAAATTTATATCCGAAAGAGACGACCCAACAAGCCTCATATGTTTCCAAAGATCTTAATGAAAATCACAGATCTTCGCAGTATCAGTGCAAAAGGTACAGGATGCCCCACTGACTTCAGCAGCAGCGACAACGCGGTTGTGTCACTCCAGACAGTGTGAGAGCAAGTTGGCCTAAGGACCTGGTGCTTAAAAAAAAATCTGCAAGAAAAAATTAGATCCGCACGACCTTTTTCTTCCCTTTTAAAAGTAGGGGGAAAAAAATCAGTCAGGTTTAGATTTGTCTTTAAATATACTCTGTGATGCTCGTTTTTTAGCAGGGACATACTCTACTAGATATTTGAGCCCTGAGGTTTATTGCCATGAACTCTGTGAAGTTGTCTTGATAGACAAATCTTTGGCCCAGCCAGGATGCACTGTGTGAAACACATTCACACTCCAGTGTGGCAAGGAATTTCTTGCTGTGTATCCTCCCCATTGGAGGTTTAATTGCAAGATATTCCTTATTTGTGGTCTTCCCCACCTTGCATCTGAATGTATCTGTCCGTCAATCCTTCAAATACGTTGCTGCTTAGAAGGGAATGAAGTACTGAGGTTGTATCAGTGTCACCAGTGACGAAATAAAATAGTTAAAGGCTTTCTGAGCCCTTTAAAAAAGTCCTGCTTCACCTACTTAACACTAATGAGCCAGAATTTTTGCCATTCTTTGCGTACTTTACAGACCCAGTGTTTGAAAAAAGCGTAAAATACATTCCAGTGTATTAACAAGTCTAGGTGATCAAAGTTACATTGAACTTTTCATAGCAATTTAGAATTGATTCATTCAGTCTCCCTGTACCGTCACAGTTGCTGTGATCAGTTTCAAGTTCATTTGTTGAAGAGCATTCATCTCTTTCTCGTTTAATAACTGACATAGTAAACGTGCAAGATTCTGTCTGCAAGAACTTTAGGAGAGATTTTTTTTTTCCATTAATGTGCCTGACATTACTAGTGTTGATATGAAAGAAAAAAAAACAGTGTTGGTTGTATTAATAAAAAGGACTTTTCCCCCCCTTCTTTTTAAAGGTGCAGAACGTGTCATTACGTTGAAAATGGAAATTCCTGGATCGATGCCACCTCTTATTCAGGAAATGCTGGAGAATTCGGAAGGACACGAGCCGCTGACACCGACCTCCAACAGCACCACGGCCGAGCACAGCCCCAGTATCTCACCCAGCTCAGTGGAGAACAGCAGCGTCACTCAGTCCCCCATGGTGCAATAAGACATTTTCCAGCTACTTCAGACATTCCCAATACCTTATGTACAGGGATGAAAAGCAAGAAAAACATTTTTACTGCTGCTTAGTTTCTGGACTTAATATATATCTATATATGTATATATATATAGATAAAACTCAACAAGGACCAAGAAATTTTCATATGTATCGATATATACTCCTTGCTGTTTAAACTCTTAAAACTAGAAAATGCAAACTTTTGAAACTCTAAATCAGCCATTTCATGCAAAAAAAAATAGTTAAGCTTCTGTTTTCTTCTCTGAACACTCAAGATTGCATGGTGACAAGACAGATCTCAGACTTTAAATTCTGGTTGCATTTCTGATGACTTTGTACATACAAATGTATGGCTGTACTTTCTATACTGGATGTTTGGTGCTTTCCTTTTGTCTCTCATACCTAATCCGATCAAGACACCAAGCGTATGAAATGGACTACTGTACACATCCAGAAAAGAAAGCTGAAAGGATCGTCTGACTTAGTTAAGATGAAAACTTGTCTTTGATGCCCTCAGTTCGCATCTCCTTCCTTGTAAAAAGTCTACGAAAAGTCACTGCACTCGCAGGAAAGGCATCAGTATCAATGTTAACTGCCAGACCAGTTATTCAGATGTCATTTGTTCCACTGTTAATGTCACTTTAAAATTTAAGAGGTGGTTTATTACCTGGCAGGTGACCTAGCTGCAGAACTAACTACTCCATTTCTACAGGAACGATAGCCTCCAAGGCAGAAACACTTCTCAGTGTTACTATGTTTTTGTTTACTTGTTCACAAGCCATTAGGGAAACTTCATGGGGTGATAACCAGCAGAATCAGTCACAGCTTTGGAACTGGCGAGTCCAGTGTATTTCCTTACACGCCCCCTGCCCGGAATTAGTTGGGTTATCCGGCCTTCCAGGGGCTAAGGAATTACAGCTAGGACTTCCAGAAACACAAGGAGAGAATCTGCCTTCTTGGCCTTGTTCAATCACCATAAAGCAGAGTGAAAACTGTGGTAGAATGGGTAACAGATTTAAAGTGTCAGTTTCTTAGGTTTCATTTAAAGCACTAGTGGATTTTTTTTTATATATTCTAGCAAGTCTGTGATGTACTTTCACTGGCTCTGTTTGTACATTGAGATTGTTTAACAATGCTTTCTATGTTCATATACTGTTTACCTTTTTCCATGGAGTCTCCTGGCAAAGAATAAAATATATTTATTTTAAAAAAAAGCTGTGTAGCAGCAGTCCCCTTGTAGAAGCAAATTTTCCACACATGAGATACTTTTCCATTTTTTAATGTTTAAATTTCATTTCAAAAAGCAGGTTTGCTGTCTGCAACCATGACAATTAAAATGTGCTTTAGCACAGCTGTCTAGAACATCCCTACAAGCCAGTCAGACAAATACATGACATTTCAATGAGTAAAAAAGAGCATAAAACTGTAGGTGTAAGAACAAAATGTTAAAATGCCTACACACAATAATAAAAACCATCAATTACATTATCACATAAAATAAGTCAAATGTACAAAAGTTTGCGACAGAAGGGACAAAAGGACAACACAAGGTATTTGTTGGAAAACGTTTGTGTGCTCTTTGGGCACTTAATTAAACATATCAAAATCATCATCCTCGTCAGATTCTGCAAAATATTTAACTTCTTTTCTAGCCCGGCCTGTCCGTGGCTTCGGGGCAGTTTCAGAGGCGAAGCCGGACTGAAAGATTTCCACGTCCGAGTCCTGGTCGAAAGCCGCCTTCTTGGCCTTCTGCGGGAAGACAAGGCAGGGCACTTGTGATCTGGGTGCATTTTGCGTTCTGACTGTCAGAACTGAAGCAAACATTTCTCTAACATCACCTAAACCCCAATTGCTAGTTCAGCAAACTACAGTAAGAGCATTTTTATTTAAAATAACCCCTTAGGTTCATTTTTTTTCCAAAGCAAAAAGAACAGAGCAGGAACTGACCTTGCTTGGTGTTGACTTAGGCGTTTTCTTCCCAGGGTTGTATTCACCTTCATTTTCTGAGCCAGATGCTTTCCTCTTCTTTGCCCCTCTGCCTTTTCCTGAATTAGAGAATATGACTTAACTTTCTCTTATTTTTTTTTAAAAAGTAAAATTCAAATTGTTCAGATTTCTGATGAAGTAACACTTTATTATGTCCTAAAGTCAAAATTACGTTTTCAGCTCAAGATTTTTCACAACAGCAGGAAAATTATCCGTGCTGTTCTTACAGCGTATTTAATGATTCTCTCAGTTCTAAATCTTTTATGCTTCTTCTGAAGTTACCATTTACCCTTGCAAGTCACGCTCACAGCTAAGACAGGGCCAACCACCCTTAGATCAATGACTGACTTCTAGACTTCTGAAGTATTGACAAGGCCTTTCTGTACTGGTTACTGAATAGTAAAGATAAATTAATCCTGTGTAAAGGAAACTTACTGTTAACCTCAACTATCAACAGAGAGAAACCCCTTCCTCTTACAATCCCTCTGATGAAATCACTTGATATGCTGTGATACTTCTCTCCTCCGCTTCTGAGCACCCTCAGAGCTAAGAACTGGGATAACAAGAAGCTGTTTTGAGAATGAAAAAAAAAAACCCAAAAACCTGCTTATGAGAATTAACAACTAGCAGAATTTGAGAGTCTCATATAAAGCTGAGATCAAAGAATGAACTCAGCAGTATCTCACAGAAGTGATGGGCAAGAGAAAAAGGGGCTGCAGTTATGAAATGCATTCCCAAAAGTTAAATGAAAAGTTCTCAGCATTGTCGGACAAGAAAAGCCAAGCAAACTATTTCTGTCACAGGAAAAAACCCTTCTTGCTGAGTAATTCACTAGTGACTCATCAACCAATGAACCACTGTGGTTCTAATTTTGGAAACTGCATTTCTGCTTCCTCGTACAAACAGCCCTAAGCCTGCTGATCAGCGCTGCACCAAGAGCCCTACCTTTGGGTGCTGCAGTCTTCTTTGGAAGGCCGAATTCCGAATCCGAGTCCGAGTTCACAGGTTCCATCTTCTTGGCCTTGGGAGCTCTTTTAGGTTTAGGGGGCACATCTAGTTTTGCTGTTAGAAGTTAGAGATATTATATAGGTTAAACTCACATATTGGTTAGAAACATGGAAGTTGATTATTACTTTGATTACAGCCGAAATGTTAGCTACCAAAATGAGAGGTGTCTGCACCTGGGCAAAGCGCAGGCCTCAGCTTCTCTGCTGAAACCGTGCGGCCTGAGCAGGAGGTTTCCTGTGCTGTATTTTACTGCAGAGTGCAGTAAATAAGGGAGTGTTTTGAATTAATCATGTCCTTATGAGCACAAAATCGAGGTTACTGGTTAACTAAAGTAGCAACAGAAGTTCTCCAGGCTGGACACCTCAAGTATATGATTAGATACATTAGAGTGTTTTATAGATGCCACTTGTGTCCAGTGACATTTCTGCTCAGTATAATCACAGGACAATCTACCCCATGATTAGGGCAGGACTTCAAGGCACAGTGTATTTGTGTCATTTTCCAACAATCTCTGGCAAGTGAAAAATAACTTTAGAAGAAGCTGAAAGGACAGAAAGGAGAGGTACCTGTGGGTATTTTTTATAATTTCTATTATTGCTGAGCAAGTAGTCTTGCTACTTAAGGCAGTTCACACAGTGGGTGACCAGGGATCGGGTGTTCGACCTGCGGAAGCCTCAGCTACTCTTCTCATCTCCACTCCATCCACCAGCCCCAAACACCGCAAAGACGGTGAGGAGCCTGTAAAAACGTTCCAGGTATCATCCCCGACGTGGGCACTGCTGAGAACTCAAGTAACAGCTCAGCAGAGTCACTGGGCACAGCCAGTTACAGCCTTCAGCCTTTCGTGCCTGCGAATACTTATGGGGCAGCCCAAGGATCAGGTGGTGCCAATGAGAAAAACTCAAGCTGCTTCAGCATCAAGGATGAGAGAAAAAGTGTCTTGGCTATGGCAGCATTTCAGAAGCCTTTGGTTGGCGGGGGGGCAGTCCAAGATTTTAGGTATTATAACAGAACAAAGAGCTTCATACGGGAAATAGTTTTACCAGTTCAAGAAACTTCTGAATATTAGACTGGGAGGCAAGGGAGAGAAAGAACCGAAGTTTTATCAGCTGGAAGATGACAAACAAGCAGGAACTCTGGCTAGGTCAAACTCGGTAGAAGAGATCTATTTAGGTCTAGGACATGGTGAGTGTCAGAGGTGACAGTCCTCCTGCAGCCCCTACGAGTCTTCCTGCAGGGCCACGTTAACTCTCGCTGCTCAGGTCCTTCTGCAAGAGCAGCAATAACCGCTCCAGTGACAGGTCCCATCCCGCAGGTCTCTCACGAGCTGCCACCACAAGGGGCAGCCGGCCCTGGGGCCTAGATTCTGTGTTAACACATGGTAGGAAAGGGACAGACATCTCACTGGCAAACCGGGAATTAGGGAGAAGGAAATAACTGGAGAATGAAAGTGAGGGGCACCTGTGCAAAGGCTGGACTGGTTCTTCCCTCACAGGAGAGCCTGCTTTGCTCAATTCCCAGGAAGTCTGTTTACACAGCAGCAAATTTGGAGAACGTAAATCTCTTAATTTTTATCTAGTGCCTAAAGTAATAAAGAGACAGAGTCCCTGGCTTCCAGAATCTGCACTTCTTTGTATACTTCCCAGTGCGCAGGGGAATGTGACAGTGCCAGAAAACTGGGTTCGCAGGCGCCACCGATACAGGACATAAAGATGGAGTTAGAATCCAGGAGGCCTGTGCAAGGCTACGAGGCCACCAGTAACCAAGCCTGGCAGGTTACTGCTGCATCATCAAATCAACTGTGATCACCAAGAACCTCGTCTGATCTGGGCAAACACCGCAGAACGCAGCCCATCCGACACCGCCGTGCCCTGAGAGGGACGAGACGCTGGGAGCGTGCTCGCTGGGAGCCCTCTGAAGGCCAAAACATTAAATATAAACTTTCCATGAAACAGAGTCTATTTATACCTATGTGTGAGTGTAAAGGTTAACCAGCACTCAGAACACAGCGGCATTTTAATGTTTTGGAGTTCTGCTCGTGGGCAGCCAACACCTACAGGCCTTCAAAAGCTGAGAGGGCCAGAGCAGTATTTTAACGAGGCGGGGGGCAGCGAGAAGGGCTGAGCCCTGCAGCCCTGTCTGCACTCACTGCACAACAGCAGCTCAGCCCAGCAGACTACCATGTATTTCCATAAACAATCAGGTTATCATATTAGATTTTCCTATAGATGATTAAAAATCTTCA